CGCATGCTATTTGAACCTATGTATACGTTTAAACCCCCAGAGGATTTACAAGGGATAATACGAAACAATGTTTTCGTTTCTCTTTTCCAGAATGTATGATTGGTGCCTGACTGCCTAAGGAACCGCCCACGTGGGGAATCAGATAAGGCGTGATTGCCCAATCGGGGAGAGAAAATGACCCCGCCCTCAGAATTTATCGCCAAAGGAATTTCCAGGTTGCATTGGATGCCCTCATTCCCTCTACTTCGCCGTTCCCTCGCAACCCTCACAACTAAACCCCTTAGGAAAATCGAGTCTGCCAAGCAACTTGCCAAAAGAATGGGTTCTCTTCCTAACACTTACACGGGTTCGTTTCCCCTCATTCTGCGACATGAGCAACTGGTACTGACCCCATCGCTCCTATAGACCCTGTCCGTATTGCGGTCATCGGTGGAACTGGTCTTCGCGAACTGCCTGGTTTCACTCAGGTTGCTTCCTTGAACATCTCGACTCCCTGGGGCACTCCCTCCTCCCCGATCACCATCCTGCACCACAACTGCTCTCACAACAACCAGACCGTCGCTGTCGCTTTCCTCAGTCGTCACGGCCTGCACCATCAGATTGCCCCCCATGAGGTGCCTGCCCGCGCCAACATCGCTGCCCTGCGCTCTATTGGTGTCCGCACCATCATTGCCTTCTCGGCCGTCGGTAGCTTGCAAGAGGAGATCAAGCCCCGCGACTTCGTGATTCCAGACCAGGTCATTGACCGTACCAAGGGCATCCGGCCTTTCACATTCTTCGAGGGAGGTGTGGTTGCTCACGTTCCTTTCGGAGACCCCTTCGATGAGGGTGTTGCCAAGGTTGTGAGGGCTTGCGGCCACAGCCTCGAGGGCGAGGGTGTTGTGCTGCATGACCGCGGCACATTGGTGTGCATGGGTATGTAATTCGTCCAATCCGGTCGCTGCGACAAGTATCTGTATAATCAGTTACTGACTCTTCCCCCAGAGGGACCTCAATTCTCCACCCGTGCTGAGAGCAAGCTCTACCGCTCCTGGGGTGGCAGCGTCATCAACATGTCCTGTCTTCCTGAGGCGAAGCTGGCTCGTGAGGCCGAGATTGCCTACCAGATGATCTGCATGTCCACTGACTATGACTGCTGGCACGAAGCTACCGCAGATGTCACTGTGGAAATGGTCATGGGAAATATGAAGGCCAATGCGGAGAACGCTAAGCACTTCGTCACTGCCGTCCTCGATGAGCTCGCCTCTGACAAGAACTCGGAACTCGTTCAGGCCAAGCATGTGGAAGGCTCTGTCAAGTTTGGTCTCAGCACCGCCCAGCCTAACTGGAGCCCTGAAGCTAGAGAGAGGATGAACTGGCTTTTCCCTGGATACTTCAACTAATTCATTTACTATTAGAGAAGGTGCTTGAACATACCAACATACACATGTTTTCCTTGCGATAGATGTCTATAGTTGATTATGAACTTATGAATAAAGTCTGTGCCAATGATGCATTTTTCGTGATTGTTCTTAATCTGTTCTTCTTTATTTGTCATTGAATCGTGTTATCAGTTTCATTTTCCATTCCATCAGAGATTGGCGACGAGACAAACAAATATTCACTGAGCGTGAGTCCTGTCGCCGAGAACTCGTGCGCACAAGTTGATACAAAGAGGCTGATTATGTCGGCGCTGCCTGTGATAGGCAAGTATTCTTTAACACGTACACTTACTCCCATGAATTGTTTGTCCTCACCATCTGCCCCGTCAGTCACGACCATGGACTACATCATAGACCCCGAAGGAGATATGCTCCTGATCGTGGAGGAATGCTCGGGAAATCTTCATCTGGATTTGGTTCAGAAAGGTAATCGTCTCAGGCCGACTAAGGTTTGTTTAAGGAAACACTAATCTTGCTGTGTTGTATACTAGAATCTTCAACTCCAGCAGCTCTTCCCCTAGGACCTACTTTAGACGCGCAGGCAATCGATGAGCTGGCTCTGATCCCAACTCAGTCCCAGACCCCGTCTCGGCACGCTTTAGATAACGCTTCCTCCGCAGCTAATAGTGGCCAACCTGTCATCTTTGTCAAAACGGTGATGCTCAAGATTCGCGTGTCCTCAAAACACTTGACCCTTGCATCTTCCTACTTCCGCCAGAGGCTAGTCCCAGAGACGGCCGATCACAGGCCAGTCGAAAAAGATGTGGTCCCAGCATGCGTTGAAGATGTCGATGCCTTGCTTATCATGCTGGACATCATCCATGGTCAAACCAGGAAAGTGCCGCGTTTAATTAGCTTCAAAAAGTTGTTCATGATTGCGGTGCTTGTGGAGCACTATGAATGCGTCGAAGCAATGGAAGCGTTTGCTGAAGTGTGGACCGAGAACCTCAAGGGCGAAATCCCTCTAGTGTATTCAGAGGACTTGGTCAAGTGGATCGGTATTGCTTGGATCTTTCGACTGGAGAGTCTGTTCCAAAAGACTACTCGTACTGCAATCCGCAGATGCACCGGGCCAATCTCCGCCATGGACGTTCCAATTCCGCTTGCGTTAATCGGTGAGTGGTTATCATATACCCCCTTGTCTAATGTCCATTTAGTGCCATCGATAGATGCTAATGATATTGCTGAACCAGAGGAGATCGAGTATTCCCGGCAGAGCACCGTCGATGATATAGTCGACCGCCTTTTCAGGCGAATCAACTGGGAGCTAATGCCCGACACCAACCTCTATTGCTGCGGCGACTGTGACGCAATGATCCTCGGAGCCCTCGTGCGCCAGCTGAAGATTCATGAGCTCTACCCACTGCCATTGCCTCCTTTCCGAGGGATCAGTGTAGATTTCTTGCTGCAAACATTGACCACATTGCCCGAGCCCCGTTGCTATGAGCTGGTTCATTCTATCTGCGGGAAGTTGTCCAAGTGTCACCTTATGCCGAAGGCGAAGGACTTGGTGGAGAAAGTGGACAAAGAGGTAACAGGTCTAGTGCTCAGAAACGCTCACTTCTGACCGGCATACAGCCAGCCCATGACGTGAGATCCTTTCTATCTGTGGGTCGTGGAGGCAGGGCCCAAGGTACGGGAGGAAAACTTTTGATAAATCATTGGTAGTAGAGAGGGTTAGGATTTGGTCTGAGAAGACGACATGTCTATCATAGGGCATTTGGGATGGTATGGATCTTCACGATCGGTTAATACTGGAATTACTGGTTTATGATGTTACCCTTGCATGTTGAATAGCTAGTTGGCCGGTGACAGACAATGCAGTGTTTTAATCTGAGCAGTCCTTGATGGCTTCGGGACCCATTTTGACCCGCTGATGGCACGATTGATATCAGTGGCCAAGACGGCCGGACGTCAACGCCACCCAGCTTGGCTGGAAATATTCCGTTTACAATAATCATAACACTAGCCTATATGAGAAATTGACAAGGTACAATCCAGAGAATAAAGGCCGCTGATAGGTGGAATCAATCCCTCAGCGAATTCGGAGCTGTTGGATATCTCCTTTTCCAGTTTCCCGTCCAACAAACATCATTGTCGGACTAGAGATACCTTTCTAGGATTAGATCCCGAGACATTACTTGCAGCCTAATTATTTTGAGACTTGTCGATTTCGGAACTAATGTTGCTTTGATTTCCAATATTCCCTTTCGAGCGTTGACATAGGCCATAGACCACAACCTTGCGGTCGGTGCGACACAGCGTGGCTGGATAGGGCTATTGAAGATCACCCCTTTGATCAGCCACATGAAATTCCAGAGAGATTGAGACAAAGAGAAGCGAATTCAACCTGTTCGAGGGGAAAACACGGAAATGACCTCTCCGAAGAGAAATGGAACAGAAAATGTCACTTCCCCTGACGATCGAAGGATCCATATCCAGTGATCGACAGGTACTCTTGCTATTCATGGCCCTATGTGGTTCGACTAGCACACTAACATTTAACCGACTTGATCACCCCCTCCCCGGGTTTATTTATGTGGGTTATGAAGCCTTACCACCTTAATTAGCCAGTTTATGTCGTCTGACCGGTCTTATACTTTCCCAATATGCGGGGCATGTGCAAGTTGGACTTGAGCCGGACGATGGGCTGCGAAGATCACTCCCTGTTACGGTTGCATATCATTTACCGAATGGGCAAAAAGACTGGCAGCTAATCCAAACGGCCCAAAGCGTCTCCCCCGCCACAGGTTCAGGTTTCTGCAGTGTTTACGGATTCGTTGCCGGATTGGACTAGTCTTGACAACCACTAGCTCTGGAGTCCAGTCATGTTGGCATCTAACTCGATAGTTCTTCAGCGCCTGGTAAAGATTAACATGGAGGAGCCAATAGATGCCCTTGGCACGCGAGCGCGCGGGCTGCGCGCCGCATTCCGGCATTATTTCCACCCTGGCTTAGCTTGTGCTGTGACCAGTGTGCAGCACACTGTCCATGGTGGATGATACCTGCAGCCTTAAATCACGATCCCATGACCGAGCACCCTGCGTTGCGGCCTTCCGACGTATTCCTATAAAGATTCGCTCCCCCCTCTCTAGCTTAATGACGCCTTATCGCTAGTCGGCTTTTCTTGGCCTCTAGTTCTCTACCATGACTGCCTTCCCGGCCTATTTGGCTCTTTTGTCTTACTTGGTCCCGGGGGCTCTGTCCGCCCCCGGGGCAGAGACTCTGACATCACGAGCCTCTGCAGAAGCTTACTCCCCTCCATATTACCCGGCTCCGAATGGAGGATGGGTATCCGAATGGGCCAGTGCCTACGAGAAGGCACACCGGGTTGTAAGTAATATGACCTTGGCCGAAAAGGTGAATCTCACAAGCGGCACGGGTATCTACATGGGTCCTTGTGCCGGCCAGACTGGCAGTGCTCCCCGGTTCGGGATCCCCAATCTGTGCCTTCACGATTCTCCCCTCGGAGTCCGCAATTCGGATCATAATACGGCATTCCCGGCTGGCATCACGGTAGGGGCCACATTTGACAAGGACTTGATGTATGAACGCGGAGTCGGTCTTGGTGAAGAGGCGCGAGGAAAGGGTATCAACGTTCTTTTGGGGCCGTCGGTGGGCCCGATCGGGCGGAAGCCCCGGGGAGGTCGCAATTGGGAGTCGTTCGGAGCAGATCCCAGTTTACAGGCCTTTGGGGGCTCGTTGACCATTAAAGGAATGCAAAGCACGGGTGCCATCGCGTCGCTCAAGCATCTTATCGGAAACGAACAGGAGCAGCATCGCATGAGCAGTGTTATCACTCAGGGCTATTCGTCGAATATCGATGATAGGACTATGCATGAGTTGTACCTGTGGCCATTTGCGGAAAGTGTAAGGGCTGGTGCTGGTTCGGTCATGATTGCGTATAACGATGTAAGCTAGTCTCCGCACCTTAACCTCGGACTGATTGTCTAAGTGGATTGTAGGTCAACAAATCTGCCTGCAGCCAGAATAGCAAGCTCATCAATGGAATCCTCAAAGATGAGCTGGGCTTCCAGGGTTTTGTTGTTACCGACTGGTTGGCTCACATTGGAGGAGTTTCATCAGCGTTGGCTGGTCTGGACATGAGCATGCCGGGTGACGGGGCTATCCCACTCCTGGGCACGAGTTATTGGGCGTGGGAGCTGTCGCGCTCCGTGCTTAATGGCTCAGTCCCGGTCGAGCGTCTGAATGACATGGTAGGCACGCTGGCGCTACCCGTTTGGTCTTTGCCTAACGTGAAGAATTATAGGTCACGCGAATCGTCGCAACATGGTACAAAATGGGACAGGACAAAGACTATCCGCTACCAAACTTCTCATCAAACACCGAGGACGAGACTGGACCGTTGTATCCCGGCGCCTTATTCTCCCCAAGTGGCGTTGTCAATCAGTACGTCAATGTCCAGGGCAACCACAATATCACAGCCCGGGCCGTCGCCAGAGACGCAATTACGCTGTTAAAGAATGACGATAATGTGCTACCTCTGAAACGGAATGACACCTTGAAGATCTTTGGCACCGATGCTGGGACCAATTCGGACGGGATCAACTCGTGCACTGATAAAGGCTGCAACAAAGGCGTACTGACCATGGGCTGGGGAAGCGGAACATCCAGACTCCCGTATCTCATCACGCCGCAAGAAGCGATAGCCAATATCTCATCCAATGCCGAATTCCACATCACGGACACGTTTCCTTTGGGTGTCTCTGCAGGTCCCGATGACATTGCAATCGTTTTCATCAACTCGGACTCCGGCGAGAACTACATCACCGTCGATGGCAATCCAGGAGACCGTACGCTGGCCGGGCTGCACGCATGGCACAACGGTGACAACCTTGTCAAAGCCGCTGCAGAGAAATTTTCAAACGTCGTCGTTGTGGTGCATACCGTGGGACCTATCCTGATGGAAGAATGGATCGACCTCGACTCCGTCAAAGCGGTGCTCGTCGCTCACCTACCGGGACAGGAGGCAGGCTGGTCATTAACCGATATCCTCTTCGGGGACTATAGCCCGAGCGGCCATTTACCTTACACCATCCCTCGCAGTGAATCAGACTATCCGGAGAGCGTCGGACTCATCGCTCAGCCATTCGGCCAAATCCAAGACGACTACACTGAGGGCCTCTATATCGATTACCGACACTTCCTGAAAGCAAACATTACTCCTCGATACCCATTCGGACATGGCCTCTCCTACACCAAGTTCAACTTTTCCGAACCCAACCTATCCGCCATCAAACCCCTGGACACAGCCTACCCCGCCGCGCGACCCCCCAAAGGCTCCACACCCACATACCCCAACACCAAGCCCGCCGCGTCAGAAGTCGCCTGGCCCAAGAACTTCAACCGCATCTGGCGCTACCTCTACCCCTACCTAGACAACCCGGAAGGTGCAGCCGCCAACTCATCAAAGACATACCCCTACCCAGACGGCTACACCACGGAGCCCAAGCCCGCCCCTCGTGCCGGTGGAGCAGAAGGAGGCAACCCAGCCTTGTGGGACGTGGCCTTTTCGGTACAGGTCAAAGTCACGAACACCGGTTCTCGGGGTGGCCGTGCCGTTGCCCAGCTGTATGTGGAATTGCCCAGTAGTTTGGGACTGGATACGCCGGCTCGACAGCTACGGCAGTTCGAGAAGACCAAGATCCTGGCTGCGGGGGAGAGTGAGGTCCTTACGTTGGATATTACGCGCAAGGATCTTAGTGTTTGGGATGTTGTTGTTCAGGACTGGAAGGCGCCTGTCAAAGGGGAGGGAGTTAAGATCTGGGTTGGGGAGAGCGTTGCGGATTTGCGGGTTGGGTGTGTGGTTGGGGAAGGGTGTTCTACTTTGGAGTAGGTTGGGTTGGTTTGTATATTTGTGGTTCAGGCTGGCGTTTGTCGTTTTTGAACTTTACATGTCAGCATTATATACTGGTAGTAATATTATTTTGCATATATCACTAAGACTTGGATGTTCTCAGGAGTTGAATCAGATATCATGCTTGTATACACAATTCAGTGCACATATTCAGACGGATAGTATATTTAGAGAACATTGTGTATACAGAATAAACGAGCACCATCAAAGAAGGAATGCTGAGATAAGTAAATCAGGATATAAACAAACGGAAATACGAGACAAAGGTAGGATTCAGATATGTTAACAAGAGAAGCTCATATCATATATGGTCAGCTGTACCCGAACGAAGGTGATCACCGTTTGTCTATTTTCATGCTACTGTATATGTAATTTATCAGATAATATCTAATACATTGACGAGCGTTGGTTCATTCTCTATGACCTACTACCGGTGGCTCCTCTCGACATTGCTGCTCCGAGAAGAATACGCGGGAATATTACCCACTCAGCACGGGTCAAGTGCCAGTGGATATCTTAGAGTTCGAGCCGAGCCGTGAGACTTCAATAAGATGTGGATGTTGGCTTGTAAGAGATCGACTGTATCGGTAAGTTCCAGTCCGAACAACTAGGTTGTGAGATATGAGTGGTCTAATTGTTTAATATCGGCATGACCTACTTTTTCATTTACCTACTGGTTATTTAACTCGAGTATTCTAAATCACTCTGTCTTCTCATTTGCTTTGTCGCTTATAATTTTTACTAGTCGGGGTGACATCGAAGGAGTCGAATAAGCTCTTGTGGGGTGACAACAAAAAAAGAAAAAAGAAATGAAATGACAGGAAACTATACCATCCATGGCCTAGTGTGGATCTTCCAGCGGGAGACGGACTGAACCTTAAGGGTTTTCACCAATCATTGCATCCAAATCATCCTGAGTGAACATGACTCATGTCTTGGCTGCATCCACAGTGGATTTCGTCCACTCTTGTGATTGGGGGCCTGAATACAGGTATCTTGAGGTTCATACAATATTTATATCATCAGTATGCCACAACTATCTGGATGCTTTCTGAGAAGTATTATCCCGCTCGACAAGTCAAAGCCGCGACTTTGTCAAGGCCTCTCCTTGGTTTCCCTATAGAAGGGAACTTGTCAACCGACGACTGATATCGGAAGTCGTTCTATCACCCTGTCTTCCTTCGATTCCCCGGATAAGTCTGCACATATGGTGCCCGCAATCATGAAAACGTTCTTCACCTCAAAAGGCAAACCGCTAGGGAAACCAACCTTCGACATGGCTCCTGACGAATCTCAACTAGAGAAGGAGGAGTCCCATTCGACTGGAACGCTCAGAGACTTACAGAACGGCGACAAGCAAGAAGACGAGCCTCAATACCCCGGCCCATTCACGCTAATAATCATCGTCCTAAGCTTGAACCTTGCCATGTTCCTCGTGGGACTCGACAACACCATCATTTCGAGCGCCATCCCAAAGATTACCGACCAATTTCACGCTCTCGGCGACGTGGGCTGGTATGCCAGCGCTTACCTCCTCACAAACTGCGCCTTCCAATTGATATGGGGGAAACTATTCACTTTTTACGTGATCAAATGGGTCTACCTCACGGCGTTGTTTATCTTTGAACTGGGGTCTCTGATCTGCGCCGTGGCCCCGAGCTCGACGGCGCTGATTGTCGGCCGTGCCATTGCAGGCATCGGCGGCGGTGGTGTTGGTAACGGTTCCTTCCTGCTCATCGCCCACTGTGTGCCTCCACGCCGACGTCCGGCGTTCATCGGCATGATGGGTTCCATGTATGGCATTGCGTCCATCGCGGGTCCTCTGATGGGTGGTGCATTCACGGACAATATTTCCTGGAGATGGTGTTTCTACATTAACCTGCCTCTCGGCGTGCTTCCCGCTATCATCATTACCTTTTTCATCGCCCCGTTCCGCGGAAGCAAGAAAGGCGAGGTTGGTTTCCTGAACCAGCTCAAGCAGATGGATCTTCCAGGAACCGTATGTCTTTTGCCCGGTGTCATTTGCCTGCTGCTCGCGCTTCAGTGGGGCGGCTCTGTCTACCCCTGGAAGAATGGCCGCATCGTCGCTCTGTTTGTGCTTGCCGGTCTTCTCTTCATTGCATTCATTGTCATTCAGTGTATCAGTGGAGATCGTGCGACAGTGCCAGGCCGTGTCTTCAGCAACCGGAACGTCTGGGGATCTGCTCTATTTGGTTCCTGTGTGACCGCCGGCTTCTTCCTCTTACTATACTATGTAAGCTCCACAGAAATCAACCAAAGACACGAACTCTACTAACCCCAACCCAAGATCCCAATCTGGCTTCAAGCCGTTAAAGGCGCCAGCGCCATCAAGTCGGGGATCATGAATCTCCCCATGCTCCTAGGCAGCGTCATCTTCTCCCTACTAGGCGGCGCCCTCACCTCCATAATCGGCTACTACATGCCCTTCGCCTACCTCACCGTGATCCTCATGTCCATCGGCAGCGGCCTCCTCTCCACCCTGCAAGTGGACTCCGGCCACGCCCAATGGATCGGCTACCAATTCCTCGTCGGCGCCGGAGTGGGCAGCGGCCTACAGACGGCATTTGCCGCGCCCCAATGTGTCCTACCCCTCGAAGACATCTCAATCGGCACCGCCGTCGTCATCTTCACGGAGAACCTGTCCGCCGCTGTCTTCGTCTCGGTAGCCCAAAACGTGTTCTCGAATCAGCTGAGAACTAACCTCGCCACGTACGTGCCTGAGGCTGACGCGAGTGCTATCTTGTCTGGTGGCGCTACCGATATCAAGAATCTTGTGCCGCAAGACCTCTATCAGGGTGTTTTGTTCGCCTATAACAAGGCTCTGGATCAGACGTTTTATGTTGGGGTTGCTCTGTCTTGTTGTGCGGTTCTGGGTGTTTTGGGTATGCAGTGGATATCGGTGAAGAAGCAGAAGAAGAAGAAGAAGGATGATATATCGTCTGAGTAGATTTAGATCGGCACTTACTCTTGGTTTAGTGCTTAATTAGACATTCATGAATTGATGCCCTGTTTCATGCCAATCATCTTCCTATTAATGTTCTGCATAAGATAAAAGTCTAGATCAGCTTCACTATTATTGACATGTAACTGAAGATGATAAAACCATACTAAGGATATACGGAGTACAAACCAATGCAAAAAGCTCGCCAGAATTAACCAACCTCACAGTCCACATCCCCCGCCAGATCTATCACAAGAAGTACATCTTGTATGAGAATAGCATGACGAAGACGGAAGTCGGACCAAATAAGGCCCTCCCGGATAAGATTATATACGCAGTGGCGCCGGCCCGGCGAAGCTATCCTCGTTAGGGTTTCCCTTGATTGACTCATCCTCGGAGCCGTCGTATAGAACCATTTTATTCTGTTTCCTTTCTATTTCTCGGAATGGTTTCCCTCCTCTAGTCTGATGGATTCCTGTCTATATTATATAGTCATCACGTTTGGATATATTATCAACACTTAAATAACTAGGAACAGGGTTGACATCAATCAGAAACGGTCTATTCGAGTATCAGTTTACGTACTCCCATACTCAGCACCTCATACTCAAAATCACAAAAATAAAAAAACCATCAAAACCCCAAATCCAAACTCCAGAATATAACCAGAATCAGAGTAACAGTCCACCATTCACCTCAAGGTAAAGTCCACAAACATACAAACTAACAAATCCACCAGACGCACCAGAATTATCAACCCAACAAGAGAACAAACAATGGCCCCCAACCCAGGCCAAACCCTATCCTCTAAATCATCTGAACCATCAACTCCTCCCAATACCTCAAACCCCGATACCTCACCCCCGAGAACCCAATACCAGATCAACAAGAAACACTACACCTCTAAACGCTCCTACAGCCAGAGACGGCTAGATCAGATCGCCAGAGTGCAGGCCGAGCTGCAGCAGGCCAAGGATGAGTGTGAAGCGTTGGAAATGTATGTTTATCAGCTGGAAGAGGAGAGGGAATGGTTGAGGTATATTCTTCGGGGGGAGGGGTAGTGTTCTTTTGTATTTCCAAGGTATAATTATAGGGGTTTATTAGGATGTTGTGTGCTATGCTTCTGTGAAAGGGGGATATATGCTTTGCTTCGCTGTGTATGTTATAGATGGATGGTGGAAGATACCAGTTAGTGATGAAGAGTAAAGAGGTATATTTGTAAGAGGGAATCCTATCAGCTGTGGTAAAGAACATAGAATATTGATCCATTCACCCTTAAGATATACCTCCTCCGCCACCAAAGAACTATTCTCAGGTTGTTATCAGTCATCTAACAACTTGAACCTGAAGCGTAATCCCCGTCCTGACCAACAAGGCATGACACACAGTTAGGAATTAGTCAGAACTATCACTAGGATTGGCTAATGACTCAAGTTAGATGTTAATATGTGCTGTCGTAATTAAGAGGGCCGACGGACCATATAAAAGACTCTCAAGTAAACAAGGAAAAACAACTTTATTGCGTCTGTCTCGCCAAACTCAACCGTCCCCCGGCCCATAAATCATACCTCGATATCCCTGTCATTCGGGAAGTACTCGTATCTCAACATGATTTTCGATAAGCCAGGGTAAGAAAAATCACAAAATTCCAAATTCCAGATAACAAGAAGCAAACACTGCATGCATGATATATGCAAAAGGTCACTCTCCCACCCGGGGTGCACGCTACGCACTCGGTTCGTCAAAACGCTGAAGCCACGGCCCCTGTAGTAAAAAGAAGGTCTGAAGAGACTATCGATTGTGGAGCGCAAGACGTAGATAGTGTTCTTGTTATTGGTTTGTTGGCCTTCTTCAAATTTGTCTTAAGCGTGGCTTGATTTGAAGATTGCTACGCTTAGAGCCACGCTGAGCGTTAAATATAGTGCGATGTCCTTCCATGACATTATAAGGTTTTTATCCTCGTAGGCCTTCATGATCTTGGTTGATTGCTTGAGCATTTTGAGTGGTTTGGGGTAATTGGTACCGAAAGCTGCGCTGATTCTTTTAACACTTAATGGAGATAAAAAAAATAATATCTGATAATCTTGCACTGGTCTCCTCTCCCTATATACCTGTGTTGTTGACTTGCCACTCGGTGATGGTCGAATCTTATCTCAGTTTCTTTCTGGATCTTCAAAAGGTCGGGGAGCACAGACATGCAGGGATGCGACGGTGAAACTGTAAGCCAGGCCAATGATTTTCCCTCATGGTAGACCCTATTGTAATACAGGGTCATGGTCGTCAGTGAACTTCATTATTTGAAATACTCGTTTGAAGGATATCGGGATGAGAGTTGGTCAGTGTAGGGCTTGTTATGGAGTTGAGTAACGCCTCAGTAAGAACAGGGTTGGCTGTGGTACTGGTCACTCGAGTCAGGCCTTGCTGCAGGCTATTGGCCGAGAAATAACTAGAATAATAAGGGAGAAGGTTATATATACATCTAGCGAACCACAGTCAAGGTACAATCAAAGAAGAATAAATGACAGAATCCGTGTTACTCATAGCTGTAAGGAGTGCCCTAAAATAACGTCGGTTCAAGGTCAGGGTTCCAATGTTGAAGTTTTAAGTACATGGCCCCATTCGTAACTTACCTACAATCATTTAAAGCTAAAGGGAATCAGGTACATATGAGGAATCGGAAGACATTCCCATGTTCCATCACTGACACAATCAACACCAAAGACCGTAAGGGTTCCATATACTTTGTAAACAGCACGGCAAGCCTTATCCTCAGAAAGGTCGGATCCAGGCAGATAGTAAATGGTGGCGCTAAATGAAAAGAGTGGGTGGATTGTGATCATCGACGATCTATTCCTAAGTGACGGTAGATTGCTTGTTGATATAACTAGTCTCTCATGTTACATGCATTCTTCCTGATATCCAAGGAATACCAACAATTTCTCACAGCCTGTGGAGTAATTCCTGACGAGAGAATCAGATATACCAACAACTTAGCCCTAGTTATTATGAAGGGGTCCTGACATTGCACAAACAGAAACAGGGGTTATCAAAAGCACTATCTTTAGTAACAAGTTTACACAGATTTATACTGCGTACCCTTTGTTGTGTGCTTTTGGATTTAGGGTATTGAAGCCATTGAATTTATCACTGACACACCATAAACCTACTACACGTAAATAACTTCAGTGCATAACATGCAAATCTTAGACGACCAATGATAAGGGCTTATCATATCTATGTACAAAGTCATAGACAATTTCAGAGGGCATCAAATAAGATTAATTGAAATGTTACATTCGCGTCAATGCGGAAGTAGCAACTAATTCAACAATAGGAAATGATCACCTAGTACTCCGAGGTATCGAGAGATAGACAATGGTATTACCACACCACAAACTGGTATTTACTTGTTTATAACATGGTGTCATTTCAGATGAGCCAATGTGAGCCAGTATGAGCCTGAGTGATCTAGCATGAGCTAGCATGAGCTAACATGAGCCACTATGAGCCATCATGAGTTATCTCCCCGAAGACCCTCACATCTTGTGAGGAGATGATTGGCGCAACACTAGAGACTTAGACAACTCGGGCATAGTTTGAGACAAACTTGCAGTAGTGGAGAAGCAGCCGAACGGTACAATTTAGTAACTCCCACTAGCGTTCCCCGCACAGTAGCAGTCTCTAGGACTTAGACAGTGAGCTGCGTATGCATATCTACATTAATCAAATTTAGGATAAACATGTGAAGTAGTTGTTCGAATAGCTGGTGGAGGGATACTACTCAGCGATTCACTGGTGTTTTGTTGTATATCTACGCAACAGAAGCAGGGGCCCTACGTTGTATTAGAGTATTGTACATATGCATATATTCCTTAAAGTGTATAGAAGAATAGCACCTATCATGTGTCCTTGACTCCTTAGCCATTCTGTTTTAAAAATATGATATTCGAGTATCATTCTGCGACCACATAACCAGTAGATTCCAGGTGCGTGCGCCTCATCATCTACTGATAACTGGCCTTATTTTGGCTTGGGATCATGTTCCAACAAAGAAGGGCTTAATAGCCCGCGTCACTTAATTACAATACTCTAGAGCCTCGTGGGGAATGGTCATTCCGGCCTCCAAGTTGGGATCCACCTGATAGGTCATACTGCGTAATACAATCATCGGTGTGATAGCTGGTAGCCGGCGAGTATACAGATATCTCGTGAGACCTGTTTCTTTCCTTGTCTTGGCCGGGGTATAAAAGAAAGGGATTTACTGCTACAGACTGGTTCTCTCTTACAATCCTCTCTCATCATTCGCATCATTCTCAGAGACCGTCGGGAAGAACAGCGGCGCCTGTTCGGCTTAAGATCCAGCTGGTAAGTCAGTTAATGCCTACTTATTGCCTTCTGCCCTCCATACCATGATTAGACACTATTTTGCCGATGTGAATGTCATCTATCAGAGATAATGATCACACTATCCTTTGCTTTGGAAGAGCGACATCGTCTGAGATTATCATCAAATCTTGCTGGATTCTGTGTATTCGTGACTGTTGAGTCTCGGTGCTAACGTTTTGAGTCCTGACTAGGTTCGACGCTGGCTCACGCTCTCATAGTTTCTACATCCCACAATGAATCAATATGTTTGTCCCCAAATTGCATTTTAAGTAAATGGCTGTTGATTCTAGATACCCCTTATGATATATTACGAAGATAGAGGTTGGGCGTTTCTGACTCGAGAGGGGAACTTCTAGAGGTAGAGCACATGCCAATCAAGCCCTGACCAGGAGCGAAGGAGACGGCGGGGACCTCCAGCAGACTGAAGTTAGACAAGCATTTCACTCCAATATACAGCAATTAAATGAACAGGCTGTACAATACTCCAAAGGGGCCATAGTTGATGTAACACAATATGCAGTTCCATGTTCAAGTGGTGCTGGGGTGTTCATTCACTAAGGCAGTTACGTTAACTTGAGAGAGAGGGTTTTGTACGGACTGATTTCTTTTCGTACTTCTTTTTGCTTGGGTTCTGGGTTGACAGTTTACATATCTGGATATGCTAGTAATGACTTTTTATGAAGCGGATGTCTTCCTGTCTTGCTCAGAACCTGAAGATCACCGTGATCTCTTTGATGGGCTTTTACTCTACGTTAGTCTTGTCATTCCTACTACCGTTATTCTTTCCTTAGTTTACTTCCTCTTTAGCGGACGTGGTGAAAAGTCTGACCACGCTCGGGTTTCATAAGATAGATTTTATATTGTGACCTTCGAATGAACAGGGATGGTTTGAAGAATAATCATATCTTAATTGAAAATGTTTGTTATAACACTCTAAGAATATATAAGGGTCGTGCTCGAATCAGTGGGGTTTCAACACAAATATACTGGGCCTAATGTGCGGGATATACAACTCTCAACTATGCTAGTGTCGAAGAGCGCTAGGAACATTTTCGCGGACGATATGCTAATGCCAAATACTCTGTGGAAATATCTAACAAGAAAAAAAATGAAAAAAAAAAAATTCAGAAAAACATACAACAGGAGGGATTCGCTGGTGGTCACCCACCCAACTACTAACCTCCCGGCGTGTGGCTTAAGTACGGCTGAGCGGACGGGAAGCCCTGTTCTCCACACCCTATGGTCGTATGTACTGGATTGTCTTGGGGAGTGGCATTTATTGTGCAGTCAAAGATAAAACGGCGCAAAGAGGTATGCCGACATTTATAAAGAAAAACACATACAGATAATATGGGGTAACATGCATGCCAAACATGACCGAACGGGTATCTTTGCAGTTCTCGATGGCGCTGGGCTCTATATGGTACATTGGTGTATTAACCATTTGTAATAATTGCGATTTCCTCCGGCACAAGATGTGCTTTATCAGTCAACGCTGTCATCTCCCAATGTAGCATCTATGCCGTGATCTCCTTGATTCTATCCTCCAGGGCCTTCATGTTCGCACCCACGATCGGCTCTCCATAGGGTTTGCCATCCTTGAACACAACAAACGTCGGCATGGCTCTCACGTTCATCTCTTGTGCGACCTGACGGTTCTTATCGACGTCCACCTGGAGGAAGCGCACGTTGGTGTAGGTTTCGCTGAGCTTTCCGACGACGGGGGCGACAGCCTTGCAGGGACCGCACCAGGTCGCGAAGAAGTCGATGACGACGGGACCGGAGGAGGTGAGGGCCTTGAAGATGACAGGGCTAGAGAGATGGGGGTTAGTG